GTATTTTTTCATTTTAGTAAACAACTTGAAATTTATATTACGAATCTTAAAATTATTCTTAGTTTTCTACGTAGTTATTGTGCTTCTAGTTCACTCAAAGAACATATTCCTAAATATTGAAAGAGCCTTTTCTTGCCCAAAGATGTGCATTGTACAATTATTTAAAGTAACGAAAACTCATTAATTTCTCAATAGAAAAGAGCTTAAACCATGATATTGTGATTCATGAAACAATAAGTAATTATTTTCAAAAGTTAATGTGAATGTAACATCTATATAAAACAAAGAAAATTATTATAAAATATGTGGGGGAAAAAACAAAAAATGAACGCTATTTGTGAGTCCAACTATGCAAAGAAATAAAACCAAAATAAAAACGGTTGTGATGGTGAAGCTCTCTGTTTTCCTTTTATCCTTAAACGCACATGAGGAAAGAAAGAACATCAACCAAAAATAAATAAATAAAGACCCCTTCCGTGACAGAGATGGGGAAGAATGAAGAGATCGTGCGTGAGGCTCTCTGCGGCTGCGTCACCGCGTCACGCCAGGGTACTGCCCGCCTGCGGCTGCGTCACCACGTCTCGCCAGGGTACTCCCTGCCTGCGGCTGCGTCACCGCGTCACGCCATAGTACTGCCTGCCTGCGGCTGCGTCACCACGTCACGTCGAGGTACTGCCTGCCTGCGGCTGCGTCACCACCTCACACCATAGTATGCCACGTCACCGCGTCTGGCCTGGGTACTGCCTGCCTGCGGCTGCCTCACCGCGTCACACCATAGTATGCCACCTGCGGCTGCGTCACCGCGTCATGCCGAGGTACTGCCCACCTGCGGCTGCGTCACCGCGTCTCGCTTGGGTACTGCCTGCCTGCGGTTGCGTCACCGCGTCACACCATAGTACTGCCGCCTGCAGCTGCCTCAACGCGTCAGGCCGACGTACTGCCTGCCTGCGCCTGCGTCACCGCGTCCGGCCGACGTACTGCCTGCCTGCGCCTGCGTCACCGCGTCCGGCCGACGTACTGCCTGCCTGCGGCTGCGTCACCGCGTCACACCCCAGTACTGCCGCCTGCGGCTGCGTCACCGCGTCACACCCCGGTACTGCCTGCGGCTGCGTCACAGCGTCACAGCCCGGTACTGCCTGCGGCTGCGTCACAGCGTCACAGCCCGGTACTGCCGCCTGCGGCTGCGTCACCGCGTCATGCCGAGGTACGGCCTGCCTGGACCTCCACACCTCCCTAAACCCCGCTAGTCCACTGCAAGGGAGGAAAGCACCCAGGAACCCGAGGGACAACAGGGGAGGAAATGGCAGACTTTGAGCCCATCCCCAGCGCTTCCGGAGGTGGAGGGAGGGGCATGAGGTCTAGGGAACTGTGCGGGGCTAAGAAAGTCAAGAAGCGCCCAGGGAATGGAGTGAGCTCAGGACTCGGAGGGTCCCCGCATCTGGGCCGGCTGCAGACAAGAGGGTTATTGAAAATCTGTAAGAAGCAGAGATCCCTGACCACCATCTCCCCTCCCCAGTCAGGTGGGACTCTGTTTCCTCTACCAGGAGACAGCAGTTCACCCTTCAAGGAATCACAGCTTGAAAAACAGCTTGGGAACTGGGTGAAGTTAACAGACTGCAGAGCCGTAGTCTGCCACCCGACGCCATTCCCTCTGCTCAAATTTCCTGACACTGACTCATGAGACCACCACCACCCTAACCAGGCGGAACACGGGAGGGTCGGAGCAGCCTGAGAGCAAAGCACAGAGACCAGAAGCAACTCCCCCAACCTCCATCAGCCTCTCCCAGTGCTCCCCCATCCTCCCCCAGTATTCCTCCAGCCTCTATCAGCCTCTTCCAGTGCTCCCCCAGACTTTATCAGCCTCTCCCAGGGCTCCCCCAGTTTCCATCAGCCTCTCCCAGTGCTTCTCCATCCTCCCTGAGTGCTCCCCCAGCCTCCAGCTTCTCCCAGTGCTCCCCCATCCTCCCCTAGTGTTCCTCCAGCCTCTATCAGCCTCTTCCAGTGCTCCCCCAGACTTTATCAGCCTCTCCCAGTGCTTCTCCATCCTTCCGCAGTGCTCCCCCAGCCTCCATCAGCCTCTCCCAGTGCTCCCCCATCCTCCCCCAGTGTTCCTCCAGCCTGTATCAGCCTCTTCCAGTGCTTCCCCAGCCTCTATTAGCCTTCCCCAGGGCTCCCAGTCTCCAACAGCCTCTCCCAGTGCTTCTCCATCATCCCCCAGTGCTCCCCCAGCCTCCATCAGCCTCTCCCAGTGCTTCCCCAACCTCCCCCAGTGCTCCCCCAGCCTTCATCAGCCTTTCCCAGTGCTTCCCCAGTCTCCCCCAGTGCTTCCCCAGCCTCTCCCAGTGCTTCCCCAGTCTCCCCCAGTGCTCCCCCAGCCTCTATCAGCCTCTCCCAGGGCTTCCCCAGCCTCTCCCAGGGCTTCTCCAGCCTCTATCAGCTTCCCCCAGTGCTCTCCCAGCCTCCCAGGGCTCCTGTGTATGCGTCTGTATGCATCGATGTGTGAGAGTCCACATAAGTGTGTGCCCATATGAGTATGTGAGTGTGTGTATGAGTGTGTGGGCGTCAGTGTGTGAGAGTTCACACGTGAGTGCATGTATAAGTGTGTGTGTGTGTCGGGTGTGGGTATACTGGTGTGAGTGTGTGTATGAGTGTGAGTGGGAAATCGTGTGTGTGAGACTACTGTGTGAGTGTGGGGATGTAAGTGTGAGTGTGTTGACAACGTGGCTTCCACTTCTTTCATTCTGATAAGTCAGGGAGAGACTACGGCTCACGGTGTCCGGTTTCCCATGAGAATAAAGGTTCCCTAGTGACGTGGGAAGTTCTGGGCCTGTCCCCTCTGTCCCTGTCCAACTCCCAACATAATGTGTATGTCCCCTCAGCGGCTGCATCTCTGCCTTGAGGTGACGAGCACACAGTGAGGACTCTGCCTTTTGCATTTGCCTTATACACACTCACTCTTCAAGACCTTCTGGTCAGTTCTGTTATCCATGAGTGACCCTTGGGCACATTATGAGATATTTTAACACAAAATAATTTCATGAGTATAAGAGTAAAGCCACATTTTTACTACCCAAAACAATCTAAAGATTTAATGCAATTCTTATCAAGATTTCAATGTCGTTTTTCACAGAAATAGAAAAATAATCCTTGGCCAGGCACAGTGGTTCAAGCATGTAATTGGGGAGTCTGCAGCAGGCGGATCACATGGTCAGGAAATGGAGACCATCCTGGCCAGTGCGGTGAAACCCCGTCTCTACTAAAAATACAAAAAAATTAGCTGGGCGTGGTGGTGCGTGCCTGTAGTCCCAGCTACTCTGGAGGCTGAGATAGGAAAATTGCTTGAACCTGGGAGATGGAGGTTGTAGTGAGCTGAGATTGACCCACTGCACTACAGCCTGGCGACGGGGAAGGACTCCATCTCAAAAAAAAGAAAAATAATCCTAAAAGTTATATGCAATCAGGAAAGCCTAAGTCTAAGCAATGTTGGGGACAAAGAACAAAGCTGGAGGCATTGCACTCCTTGATTTCAAAATATATAGTTACAGAAACCAAAACAGCATGGCACTGACATGAGAACAGACAGATCAGCCAATGGAACAGCATAAAGAGCCCAGAAATAAAACTAAACATTGATGGTCAATTGGTTTTCAACAAAGATGCCAAGAAGACACAATAGGAAAAGACAGTCTCTTTAATAAATGGTGCTGGGAACACTGAATATCCACATGCAGAAGAGTGAAATTGGTGCTTTAACTTACGCCACAAGGGAAAATTAACTCAAATTGGATAAAAGACTTAAACGTAAGACCTGAAACTGCGAAGCCGCTGGAAGGAAGCTTGGAAGAGACCCTTCACCCCATTGATCTGGGCAGTGATCGCTTGGCTAGGACGCCAAAAATAAAGGCAGCAAAAGCAAAAGTAAATAAATGTGACTGCACAAAACTAAAAAAGCTTCTGCACAGCAAAGGAAACAATTGACAGAATGAAGAAAGAACCCATGGATTGGGAGAAAAAATATATTCAAGCTGTGCATTAGCTAAGGTACTAATACTTAAAATCCATAAGGAACTGAACTCCAGAGGAAGAAAACAAATAACCCATTAAAAATGGGCAAAGGATCTGAATAGATATTTCTCAAAAGAAGACAGAAAAATGGCCAACAGATACATGAAAAATACTGAACATCTCTAATCATCAGGGAAATGCAAATTAAAACTGCAGTGAGATATCATCTCACACCTGTTAGAATGGCTATTATCAAAAAGACAAAAGATAAAATACTGGCAAGGAGAGAAGGCTACGCTTGTGCACAGTTGGTGGCATGTAAATTAATACAGCCATTATGAAAAACAGTGTAGAGGTTCCTCCAAAAACAAGCTGAACTGACATGTGATCCAGCAATCCCACCTCTGGGCATTTATTTGTAAAGATAACATATGGTTTAACGTGTACGACGCAAAGTGAGAGGTGTAAAAATTCATTACGGCTATTCAACACGTGTACAAAGCCGCTCACAGCAATTGTGTACAAAGCAATCATGTCAGTTAACCTAAGGCAGGATAGAAGAAGTGGCTAATCAGGAAGTCCAGACAGTTTCTTAAAGTAAAACTCAAACTCCAGACAAAACTGTGGGAAGTCCTTGAAAAAGCCTCATGGGCAGCAGATCACCACCCTGCCCTTCAATCCAGGGCCTCACACAGAACACCCACCGCAGCGCCATTGTGCCCTCTTTTGCAGCAGTGACTGCTCATCTCAGGAAATAGTGATTTCAGCACCCCAAATGACTTGAAAATTAAAAGGCATTTACTTACCACAGACTCTACTCATTGCCAAAATCATATCGTCGTACACTGAAAATGAGAAGGGATACGCACCATTACGACATGTAATTTTAACAGAAAGCCGCATTTTCAATGTTTAATTAAATGGATACAGGAAATTGTGATGTTCAGTTGAAAAATGAATCATTAAAATGGCAGTCTTTATCCATAAAAGGCTTATGTGTGCAATAAATCCTTCTAACTTATTCACTTTTAAACAAGGATCCAGAACGTTTTACTTAACATAAATCCAACTCTACATTTAACTGAATCACTGCTTCAGTGTTTCTATCATTTTAACTGCATTAGTAATGGGCTACTTGGCTTCTGATGATGGACCGAAATGACATTTCATATAAACCCAGAGTAATATCGTGCATTATTCTAAAACAGTGAAAAAACTCTGAAGGCAACCAAAGAACAAATATATTTTCTTGTACAGTGTTGCTGCTAAAGAAACAAGGTGTGCTATAGCTGAGGCTAGAGGTAGACCTGCCTTCAGAACACATCGCATCCTGTTGGTGAAAGGAATTTCTTGTTGGCAGAACAAAGGTTTTCTTTTACCTTTGCCAGCTATTTCAAGGATGGACGCATCTTGGCCTCTGTCATCTTTCAAGGTTGCCTTGTATTCACCATGGTCCTTCTTTGACAACTAAAAATAAAACACATTCCATATTTATGTAAAATCAATACAGCAATAGGAAGTGTAATAAACTCTAATACATTTTCTTTGCAAACCACTGAAGTTCAGGATGCAAATTAGAGGAATGCAGAATTTCGAGTTATTTGAAAGTGCCGTTTTTGTTTTGCTTTCGTCTTGTATTACTCAATGCCTGATACCTTTGGGATGAGCAGCTGACAGGTTCCCCTCTCCAGGTCAGGCGATGTCTCCGTTTCATATAGAACGTCATCCTTGAGCCATTTGAAAACGGTTTCTTTCTTGGTGTTTGCAACCTATGAAATAGAAATCTTAAGTTTAGTATGTAAATCATTCTGACTCATGAGAAAAAGAAAGTCTATTAGAATTTTAAATCACAGAGCCCCCTCAAAAAACCTTAATTTTTACTATAGACAGTCTCAGATGAAGGCTTATGGAAAAGCTGTCGCTCGTAATAACGTCAAACACATTTCTAAATTCCAGCTTCTAAAGTTATTAAGTCCTCACAGTTGCTCACAGAAGGACAAATGATTCTCGTCATTCTAGTCCATGAAATTAGAGGGCATAAAGATCTTTGGTCTATATGAAATGTCATTAACAAAGACAAGTTTTAAGCAATATATATAGGGATTTCTAAATAATATGGAATATTCTGAGGGTCTATAAAGCTGCTTGGCTACTGCTCTTTTAGCGGCATCACATTTCAGGTACAGGGACACAAAGGAAATGAAACCTTAACACAAAAAATGCCCACTAGAGGTGAGGACCTTCCCTTAACTGAAATTCCTCACAATTCAATCACTGGCTAGAAACTAAGCTTTGCGGACTCCGAAGATAAGTGAGCATTCCAATTCACATGCTCTGGCGTTCATCTGAGGGACGAGGAAGAGTTCATATTCAGCATGGCAGGATATACGAATCCCATCGGACTATACGAGTCTGACAATTCTACGTTCACATCCATGTGGATTCAAGAAGAGTGATGTTGATGACAAAAGATTGCAAATGATTCAACAGTGTGATCAGCTCTGCTAGGGTAACAGTACAACACAGAATTTCCACATGTGCTATGGGAAATGGCATCGTTCTTGACAGCACTGGGACTGAATCTCTGTGAAGCAGGGGTTTTGTCTGTTTCACTAACACTTGTCCCCAAGTGCATGGCTGCCTGCCTGGCACACAGAGGTTGTCCTGTCAATGTTTGTGGAATACACAGATGGAAGGTATCCCACTGAGCTCCTAAGTAGGGTCTCCTTTTAAAGTCAGAACCACTCCTTGATAACAAATCTTAGAATGGACTGAGGCTGAGGCTCCACGACTCTAGCACACGATCCCCTTTAACATTTCAAGATTTTCTTTGGTGTCTCTTTTCAATGCCAGTCTAATTGCTTACTGTCTCTTAAATCAATACTGTTTTCCCTTCCTCTCTTCTTCAAAGAAATTTTATATTGCTGGTCCCTTCCAATAAATGCCTTTCCAATGACCTTCAATTTCTGTTTTCTAAAAAAAAAATCTGTAATCAATCTCTTTGTCCTATAAGTGGGGGAGGCAGTTGTAATTCCCCAAAACAACTCATTTGTTTCTTCTCCGCACTCCCTCAACTTCTCTCTACCATAAACTCTTTAAAATATGGGCACCTAAACTGTACATGAATGTCTAGGAAAGATGATAACATCACTTCTTAGGCTACATATGGCCCATTCCTGACTCACGCTTCCTAAGAGTCAGTGCTAATTCTCCACTTCTGCTGTGTAACAGATGTTTAACAGATTTTCTTATGTTTATGATTGTGGTTTCTCTGTGTCTTAAACTTTTAAAAATGATTTTCTCTGAAGTTATAATGTGAATGTATCCCTGTATAAATTTTTCTCCATGTACTTTTTTCATGTAAATAATTTTTAAAATAACCATCTGCACCACATTATTAAATGAAAAACCATGTAGACAAAATGGTGCACAGAATCACAGGCTTGACAGGGACACAAGTATGTAAATCAAATGTATTAAATTGCACAAAAAAACCTCAAATCTCAAGTAATATTAGTTTTCCCAATATCTGTGTTTAAAGATTTATGAATTACTTTAGTCAGGGAACCTAAAATACTTTTAAATATTTATAGACAGTTCTGTCCCACTAAGATATCAGAGCCCATGGAAAGCAGAACTCGGGGGTCTCGCCACTGGCCTTGGGAGTGCACACACACGTTTTATGGCACGGTCAGAACAACAACAACAACAAAGAATAAACTGACGCCATAACCGAGTCACTCTGACTTGCTCTGGGCTTTGAGTTGCTGACTCCCTAAGGAACTGATTTTTGCAGTGCTGATGTCTACAATTTTGAGGAAACATACCTTTCTGCGTAGGGTAAATAATTGGAGAAAGTTGCTTTTCCAGCATAAACGGACTACGTACACAGGCTATCATCAGTCACCTGGTGGGTTTCTTCCCTTTAAGTATCCATTATGCTTTTCATTTGTTGAGCAAGACTTCTAAAGACCACCTCCCTTGCAGCTTCCTTGCAAGTAACCTTCTTCTCTTCTTTTATCAATGTTTTCATTTCTGAATCTTCCTTTTAAACATACTAGCGCAAGAAATTCACTACCAAAAATCTAAGTATTTAATAAATTTACCACAACCTTGAGTGTGTTTGATATTAAAGCCTTAGCTCTAGTTATCACACACACACACACACACACATACACACACACACACATATATATACAGGAAATCAAATTGCAAATTAATTACCAATACTGAGGATGATCAAAATAGTAAGAAAGGTTCGTTTCATCACACAAATTTCTACGAGCAACCTGCACCTATCTAGGGTGTGTTCAACACCCACCTAGTTCCAAACCCCCGTGCCCACCCTCCTGCAAATCCCTGTGCCCGGGTCCACTCCCGAGTGCACTGCAGACCTCTTCATGGCAGGTCCCCATCCAACGCTTACATGCATCAACGAGTTCGCACCCCAGTGTCCCCACCGAGGTGGCCCAGCGGAGATCACCAAGGCTTAGCCCTGCCTCCTCTCCATTTGTCCTGCTTGGCCTCACTTTCCTGCTCAACTTAGACAGCTGGTTGACCAACTAACTACAGTTAAGCAAGACCCAAAGTTCCTATTCCATCTTCCCTTCTTGCAACATCCATCCAGCAAGACCCCAATCATGAATCTATCCCCTGACTCACACCAGGGTCACCAGCCACATCTGGAAACATCAACCCCAACACCCCTATTTGGGCCACTACGAACTGTCTCCACATTGGTTCACTCAACAGTGATTTCCATTCTTAATAAGGAGCTCCTGTCATGCCTCCTTCAGTGGCAATCACAGCCCACTCCTGCCACCCACCCCACCATGGGCCACCTTTCTCATCTTCAACACCCTCCAGCCTTTCACTGGAAAGAGCGTGAAATCAACTGGCTGCACTGGTGGATCTGCTGCTTGCTCTGCCCTGGTTTTTGGCATCACCCACGCCCCCTCATTGTCCTTCACGGGGAGCTGCCCTGGGGGCCAAGCAGCCCCCTGCATGGCTGTGCTGACCTCCTGGTCTCATCTCCCTCCAGGCCAGCACTGCCCCTCCTGCGTCCCCATGCCCTCCCTTTCCTTCACCTGTGACTCCTCTTCTACTGACCCCTCTGCCTATAAATAGGATTGAGTGTCCCCATCCAGAAAGAGAGAAAGACAAAGCCACCCTGACTCCCCTCTCTCTCCCTCACAGCCCGCTGAGCAGCTCACAGGGCAGCGGGCTCCTGCTCACATCCTCCCTTGTCTCTCATCTCCTCAGCCCACCACGTAGAGACCCCGCCTTGCCAACAGCACCCAGCCCGTGCTGCCTCCAGCCACCCCTCCTCACTCAGCCATGCAGCACTTCCTCCAGCTGCCCATCTTCACCCGGCCATGCAGCACTTCACTCCGAAGTCCCTCCCTGCCAGCGGCACCAAGTCATTTGCTTTCCCTCTGAACTCTCTGACGGTTTCTGCTCAATAATCCCAGAGCTGCTCTCCTCTTCTCCTCTGACAATCTGAATTTTCCAGAATGCCCCAATTGTTTGTGATGTTCCTGTCTCTAAAGGCTGTCCTTTGGCAGCTTGACTCACTTGCGTCATGTCCGCAGCCAAGCATTCCCGATACCTCATGAATTCACACCCAATATCTCATGAATCCACGTGCTCCAGTTGACTTTCCCATTGCTGCCAGGTTCACATGTCCCGTTGTGAGCTGGTTATGCCTTATTGCCCATTCCACGGATATAACTAAATCTTTGTGAAATTGAATGTATTCTCAAAACCCTAAAACTTGGCCCTCCCCATACAGTGCTGATCTCAAGTAATATCACACCCACTCAGTCCTTCCCTCTCACCCACACCCACCTACTTGCCAACTCCTGCTGGTTTTAACTGCTGGATGTTTATCCTAAATCTCCTTCTTTCTGTGGATATGAAACTGCCCTGCTGGAGTTACCCTCTCTCAGCAGCCTGCTGAAGCATCGTCCTCCAGCCCTGCCACCTCCAGCCTTCCTCGTCAACAAGCAGCCCATGTCACTGCACTCACATCCCTCAGGTGCTCTGCACCCTCTCAGACCATGGCCAGCCTCTGGGTCCTGCAGGAGAATGCCCCACTTGCCCATCAGCCTTGGATTTTTTTTTTTTATTTTTAAGTGCACAGTTCAGCTTCTCTGTCCCTCCCTGCTTCTCTGTCCCTCCCTGCTGCTGGATCTCCCTGCTTCTCTGTCCCTCCCTGCTTCTCTGTCCCTCCTTGCTTCTCTGTCCCTCCCTGCTTCTCTGTCCCTCCCTGCTTCTCTGTCCCTCCCTGCTGCTGGATCTTCCTGGAACCATCTTTTCCCACTCACTGGCCTGCATAATTCTTAGTCCCCCTGGCACACACAGCTCAGGAATCATCTCTTTATTGAAACTGTTTACTTTTCTCTCTTATCCAGTAGACAATAAGAAACTAGTTTGGGGGTAAAAATAATGCATTATTGATCTTTTTCCCCCATCCCCCCATCCTGAAACAGTCAAATACTAGGCGGTTATTAAATTGAAGGTTTGCTGCTTAAAAAATAGATTTTTATATTTAGTAATAAAACATTTCATTACTACATTGTTAAATGAAACTGAAAAAAGCATCTTGTCTCCAAAGCATGCCTTTTCTTTCCTGATGAACTCGTATGAGCAGCACCTCCAGTGTATTTCAGCAGGGCACTCTTTCTCATAAACTCAATAATGGTTTAAGTAAAATTTTTGTAATCCAACCTTCCGTTGCATCCCATAACACTGTAATCTTTTCATGAAGAAGAAAAGACAAGCACTAAAGTCCAAGTAACAAAAACTCCACAGGACCCAAAAGCCACTCTGCCCATCCGCAGTTACACAGACACCACACGTTTCATCACCAGCGTCACAGATTTGGCCACAGCTGCTCCCTGAAAGGCCCCTCTGATAGTAACCAGAACGAGACTTATTGTTTCCCCGTTAGAACCAGGTTTCTCACCTTGCAAACAAGTCGAACTTCACATTCTTCTGTGACATCCCAGTGCAAGTACTCAGCAAAATGAGGGCCTAAGGAGGAAAAAAGGAAAAACAACTTTTTAAAAAGGAAAAAGGAAGTAAATAAATATATAGCCATTATATCTATACCTACACATATATGCATGGTGTGTATATATAATACAAAAACATGTATTATATATATTTATGTAATGCATTTTTGACAGAAGACAATAGCTGTGCAGAATGAAACTGAGATAGTTTTCAGGCCTGGGATGTCGACACATGTTAACACTGATTCTCCACTGGAATCTGTGCTTCCTGGTAGGAGCACACCATCTGATGGCTCCTCCTTACTGACATCTCATATCTATTGCTCTTTAGAAAGGAGACTATTGAAATAATTATATTTTGTTTCCCAAAGTATATGTCTAACCGAACATTCAACAACACGGTAAATAATATCTTTAATAAGAGCATAGACATGAGATGAAGAAATAACAGTTTGACCTAGCAATTGTGTAAAACACATTTTCTTTAGATAGCATTCAAAATCAAAGATGGGTTTATGTGGGGTTTTTTTTAAATGTTAATCATTTTTATTTAAAATACATGTAGGAATAAGTCACACACTAATACCCTTTTGCCATTCAATGCAAAAATACAAAGCAGAGTTGGAAAGTATGTGTTGACTTCTTTCATATACATGAATACATCCTACAAAGTTGGCCAAAAAATGTTCATAATGGAGAAATAAGTAAAATAAAATATTTGTGACTATTAGAAATAAAAACAATGAAAAATAATAAAAATGAATGTTTTGATTTTATGTTTCATACTTCATATTCTAATTTTTCTCAAGAAGTATAGAAATCCCATATATAAAAATATTATTTGAATAAACCTTTGGGATATGTTTGAGAATCTAAAATGTATTCATTTTCCTTTGTATCTAGTTAACATGTATTTGTAAAAGCAATCTAGTTAAAATATATTGTTTGTCGTTAGAAAATTTAAAAGCTCCCACAATTTTAAGTAGAATGAACAATTTCCTGGTGATAGGAATAGCCTCTACTGCCTTCTCTACATTTCAAAACCGAATGATGCCCCTGCCTCCTCCACCCCCATTCTTTATTCTTTTTCATTAAAATTGCTGGACTCTGTCTGGACATTAAAGCTAGAGGCGCGCTGTCCTCATCACTCATGGCTATCAAGTGGGTTCCTTTCCCATGCAGTTGGTAAGCCCCACGCATCTACGGGATGCTCAGCCCCATAAGAAATATTAGGAATTCGACAAACAACGGAAGAGCCAGCCTGTCCTCTGAGTGCAGGGTAACATCCAGCCCCTCACAAAGGCTCAGAGCCCACGAAAGGAACAGCCCGGGCCCCTGCAGTCAGGGAAGGCCACAGTGGGAGGCCACAGGGAGATGGAAAGACCCACTTTGGACTTGAGATTGGAAAGACCTTAAGAGAGACAAGACCACAGAGACAGGCATGGACGCCCAGGAAGGGACAAGGTGAAGAAATCAGTCCGGCCCATCCAGGAAGTTGTCCCCATGGTGGGAAATAAGATCTGGTTAAGCGGTAGGTGCAGATTGTGGAAAGCCTGCGTTTATCTGATGCATGCTTTATGGGGCTATTAAAGCGTTTTATGCAAAGGGGCGCCTAAAAGAAATAAGTGTATCGGAAGAACCACCTCCCAGCAGCATATAGAAGAGAGTAGCTAGTCAGCAAGTCAGTCACAGATCCTGGTTAGACTGATGGTTTCTTTGACTTAAGATAATAACAGGAAATGTGAACATTAAACAGAAGAGTCTGGGGCTTTTAAAGGTAGAAGCATTTTTTAAAATGCAGGCAAAATACATGTAAAGGACAAAGAACAGAAAAGTATACACATTTCTAGTGCTAAGAAATGGCAATGGTCTAACTTTTCTTTTCTTTTTTTTTTTTCTTTTTTTGAGACAAGATCTCACCTGTTGCCCAGGCTGAAGTGCAGTGGCGTGATCATAGCTCACTCCAGCTTCAACCTTGGGATCAAGCTAGGACTACAGGCATGCGCCAACATGCCCAGCTTCTTTTGATTTTTTTTTTTTTTTTTTTTTTTTTAAAGACAGGTTCTGCCTGTGTTGCTCAGGCTGGTTTTGAACTCCCGGGCTCTGGTGATCCTCCCACCTCAGCCTCCCAAAGTACTGGGATTACGAGCATGAGCCACCATGCCTGGCCTGGCCTGGCCTAACCTTTAATCATTTAGAACAGCCTTTAGGGTCGCTTGGGATCACGTAGGATCTGCTTCTGACAAATACTCCAATCGTAAGTCTTTGCTTTATGCTGGGGGCAGAGGAGCAGGTCAGTGACTCACCTTGTTTCCTGAGAAATTCTTTCCTTTGAAACTCAGCCTCTTCCAGCACAGTCCTGAATGCTAAATTCAATATTTAAAAAAAATACATATGAAACATGTTTGCTTCTCTCCAAAAGAATTTAATTTGAATTATCTTTTATGGACATATGGAAATATTCGATATAGCATACCATCTCCAATAAGGACTAGAGAAGACTGACTTTTGGCTTTTCCGTCATGAATCTGCACAGTGTAGGTCCCCTCATTGTCAATAGTAAATCGATCCATCACCATCTCAATAATGCCAGTAGCTTTGTCACATTTAATTCTGTGTATCTGCAAGCAAAACAAGGGAAATGGAGAATTATACAAGGAAATCTCTCCTAGTTTTCCTTCTCAGCATTTAACAATTGCATCAGCCATGAGATCTTAAGGGATTATGACAGGAAGAAACCAAAATGAAATTTTATCAAGGAAACCTCCCGGTGAACACGGATCAAACTTGTGGGTATGAGCTGTCACTCACAAAGCCTGGCTGTGTGAGGAGATCTGAGAGTCCAAACCAGGTACCTTCTAGGCAGACTCCACACCTACCCAAGAATGAGTTACTAACGTGAAGCAGATGAAATTCACAGGAGAAAAAAATGATATGCAATTGATATAAATTATAATGATCGCCAGCTGATGACAAAATCCCACATGGATAGCAGCAACAGGCAATGTCCACAGCCACTGTCAGCTTCAGTTCCTGAGACACAGCACCCACAAGCCCCAACCTGCTTCTGTCCATCAGGATGCAGGGGTTTCAGGTGAGGAAAGGATAAATGGACCTCCAACAGGTGTTGACTTTTTAAATCACTTTTGATTTCTTTTATTTTTTAAATGTTTCATTTTATTCTACAGTACATGCACAGATACATATGAACACATTTTATTTAGGTAATCCTACAAGTCGAAGAACAAGTGTTTCTCTAACACACAGATGCATCAAACGAATTTGATCTTTTTTTTCCCTCTGATTCTGTGATGTTTATTAAATTTTTAACTTCACTAAAACCATTTTCCCTACCTTTATTAATGTTTATTTCTCTTTATTTCTCTTTTTTTTTATTTTTATTTATTTATTTATTTTTTGCTGGTTTCCTTAATTGGGGGTTTGATATTTTTACCTTTTTGTGCTTGATAATTATTAAAATTATTATAAATTAATATTAGTAGTTACATTTCACTTTTTCATTTAAATAACTCTAATTCTAATGGAATCTTTCAAAACATCAATCAGTCTATGTAAATTTTAGAACCGTTTCAAACCAATTTCATATGATATTGGTCTTTGCCAATATATGTTCTTAATATATTCAACCATCTCTTCTTTGTAATTCTGAAAACAGGTTTTCCTTTGTAACAGTATATAAATTTGTCACATCTCTGTGGTCCCAGCTACAGAGCAGGCTGGGGCAGGAGGATCGTTTGGGCGACAGAGAAAGACCCTGTCTCAAAAAAATAAAAAGAAATTTTGTTGGGCTGGGTGCAGTGGCTCACACCTGTAATCCCAGCACTTTGGGAGGCCAAGGCGGGCAGATCACCTGAGGTCAGGAGTTCCAGACCAGCCTGGCCAACATGGTGAAACCCCATCTCTACTAAAAATACAAGAATTAGCCAGGCATGGTGGCACATGCTTGTAATCCCAGCTACTCAGAAGGCTGAGGCATGAGAATCGCCTGAACTCGGGAGGCAGAGGTTGCAGTGAGCCGAGATCACACCACTGCACTCCAGCCTGGGCAACAGTGTGAGACTCTGTCTCAGAAAAAGGGAGAAAAAAGAAATTTTGTCATATATAGTGCATACGACCAAACTACAAACATTTGCCCACACAATTCCCCCTTCCTGCCTGCAGTGCAGCTGTCTTATTGCTAAGATGGGAGAAAGATTGGGAGGGGAGGCTGTTGGTTGCTCTGAGAACATTAAACTGCATCGCTTCATGATTTCTAGGTTTTACTGTATGATGGGAACAGTCCACAGAAGCCTGGACTACCTGCCTCTCTGCTACTTTGGGGATGAATGTAGGGATACATTTCATGCCTTGGAGTTCCCCGAGGGCCATGCCCCACAGTTCTGAGCTCGCAGGCCTCTCTGCAACCATGCAGCAGCTTCTGCCCATCCTTGCCGTGGCCACCTCACCCGAATGCAGCCCTTGTGACTGGCTCCAAGGGAGACTTCCCTGATGTCCCGGGGTGAGGCTTGGTGTTTTCTGGGGTTTCCACAGCCGTGCCTCCCCTCCCCCAGCAGCACCCTGCCCTCGGGAGCACCCTCCCCGGCCTACCTATCCTCCTGCCGTCTGTCTCGCTAGACAATGAGCCCCTGAGAGCAGGCACGGCCTTACTCATCCCTGCAGCCTCACGCCGTGCCTAGCATCACGCCTGGCAGTGAGAAACACCAAACACACGTCCGTCGAGGTCCTGATGAGAACGTCAGCTGGAGGGGGCTTAACTCATCCTGCCATCCGTGGTGTTGAGTGGCTGTGGTCTCTGACACTACTGAGTGACACTGAGCAATTTTAGAAGATAATTATCCTTCTAAGTGAGAGCCCACGGACGTGGTCAGGACCAGAGCGTCCTTCCCACTGCAGACCCAGGAAGCCTTCTTGATCACCTGAGACCTTCCCCTCCAGATCAGTCATTGGCTGAAACTACAAACCTGTCCCAGCCAGTCCTTCCTCCATCCCTGGCTGCACCTGTCACCTCCCTTCCTTCAACAGCTAACCCCCTGCGCCACCCTCTTTGACCTCCCTGCACTGGTGCAGCCATGCCTTGGGCACAGAAGCCCCAACCCAGGCAGCATCTGGGGTAGAGGCCTCCCAAGGCCATCGCCTGCTCCCAGCTCACCTTCCCCATGCCTCTGCTCGCTCAGCGTTTGGGATGCGCTAAGATACTGAAAGGTTTTATGGCTGCTAGTGGATTGCATTGTACTCTACCTGGATGATACAATGTCTGACATTGAGCAGGGTCTTGACAGTAGAAAGACCACATCCCAGTGTGTGACTTGTCCTAAATGCAGCAGTAATGCAGGGCAGAACGGCGTCGAGGGCATCCAGTGTCCAATGCGGGACTCACCCCAGCCATGCCACCGTAGAATCACGGGAGTCTGGACGCCCGACCTCGGCTTCCTCATGCCCAGAGTTAGCAATATGGCAGTCTCAGCTGCTGTCAATATTTTCTGCAGATCTTCATCTACCTTTGGATTGATCCCAGCTGGAATTGGGGCAAAGGCTTTGCAGCCTGAATAATGATCTTACCCAGGACCCAGAGAGGCTCTTGGAGCCTCATGAGCAAAACAAAACACCAATAGTCTGTGGCGCTCAGCAAATGAGGCAGCAAAGGAGACTCCGTCAGCCCTTAGAACCACACTCCTCTTACAACCCTTGCCTTAGCAGCAATACTACAGAGAATTTCTATCTGCAGGTGACAACGTAAGTTTGGCCAGAAAATCAGCAACCTTCTTCTGATAAATCACATGCATTTATTTTCACAATGTTCTTCTTTCTGAGTTTACATTTCTGATATTGCAAATGCCAGTGCCACCAGAAAGGCTTTAGAAGAGGAAAATTAGCAAACTAGCCACTTGGTTCAGGTTCTCTCTCTCTGTTCATTTTCTTCAGCATTGTTTCTAAGTTCTTCTGCCTGACATTCAAAGCCTGTATCTTCTGACCCATTCCATTCCCAAAAATATTTCCTAAGATCACTCAGGCAAACAGCCCCCTCTGTCGAGCCCAGCCCTCCACTTCCCTGTGTCCCTATTCCCTGATCATTCCTGGCTCTCTGTGCACTTGAGCGGCTTGGAATGTCTCATTCTCTCCCTCCCATCCCCAACCCCCACCCCTCGAGCCCCGATTTCTACCTCCTTGACACCCATTTATTTCAATAACACTCTACCCTTGAAATCCTTCCTGACTACTTCAGCCTCTTCAACTCTCTGCCTTCTCTGAATTCTGAGAGTGTTTACTGCACTGTTTTAATAGAACCTGGGTTCTATCTTTCTTCTCTGTCCTCCTCTCCTTGAAGGTGTATTTCTTTGACCCATGACAGTCTCTGTAAGGGCAGCTTCATATCTGACTGTTCTGTCCCTGCTGGTGCGTTGGCCAAGCGGATATTCACCAGGTGACGTACAGGATAGGTGCTGCCATCCACTGGGAAGGGAACAGGACCGCCCAGGCTCCCAACAGCTCCCGGGGATGCTGCAATTGTTGCTTCATTGAATCTGACTTTCAGGGTTTACGTGAATAAAGTCTGCTCCACTCCTACCCCAGGTTTTGATTTCCCATAAACATAAAAATCACCTTCACAATTAGAAATTCCAATATTATATCAGAGATGTAGATCACACAATGTATACTGTGTCAGATCACTGAGACTTTTTCTAAACAGAAAACTGGCACAGGAAATTGGTACATCTAAAATGATAGAAAGAGACAGAAATGGATGAGAAGGCATGACCTCAGACTGTTTTTGAGGGAGGGAGATTATTTTAAGAAATGGCTCAGCTGGGCGCGGTGGCTCACGCCTGTAATCCCAGCACTTTGGGAGGCCGAGACGGGCGGATCACGAGGTCAGGAGTTCGAGACCATCCTGGCTAACACGGTGAAACCCCATCTCTACTAAAAATACATAAAAAAAAAATTAGCTGGGCGCGGTGGCGGCGCCTGTAGTCCCAGCTATTCGGGAGGTTGAGGCAAGAGAATGGTGTGAACCCGGGAGACGGAGCTCCAGCCTGGGTGACAGAGCGAGACTCCGTCTCAAAAAAAAAAAAAAAGAAAAGAAATGGCTCAATTGCAGGAAGCAAAACAACTTTGCCCCCATCCCTGGAGACTGATGTCGCTCTTGGAGGTGCCATGAGCAGGAGAGGGACCTGCGATTCCAGTGGATACACTGTCCCATGGACCTCGGGTTTCTTTACAGTGCGGAGTGTTTACTTTCAAATATCAAAAGTAAACTTCAGGTTGATCAGACAAATGCACTGTCCTTGTTTGTACGACATTATCCTCACTTCGAACATCTATGAGAATGAATGATAGGAACTTACTCTAACTGGCTCTGAGTAAGAAAAACGTATGATTCTCATCAACTAGATTCTTAGCAATATAGCAGCTTTTTCCATTTTCTTAGCTGCTGTGCTGCAATGTCTGGGTAGGTTTTAGAAAATAATTAGGCTTCTTGCTAATGCCATTATGCGGCAAGATGAAGTTCAATGATTTTACGAGTGTCATAAATACAGGCTTTCATATGGCTTCCACAAAATAGCATCAATCTTCAAATGTAAAAGGCACCTGTGGATTGTTAACTGAAGAAGTAAAATATATTCCAAAAGATTAGCCATGGAGCCAGGGCACCCATCCTGAAAGGAAGCTCTATACAGCAGGTAGGAAATGTTCATCAAAAGATATCCCACAAATAAAGTGCACTTCCCCTAAATTCCATTTCATTTCATAGCATGGTCTCTGCTCAAAGAAGATTTCTCCTATTACCTGGATCAGAAACTAAGTCTCCCATAGGCAATAGTTATATTATTTGCTTTTTTGCAGCCCAAAGCTAGATGTTTTCTACTTTCTAGCCGGCTCTCCCATGTAGGAGTGAGTCTTAAAGTGTGTCATGATTCTCATGGAAAAGATTGACTGAAGAAAATTCTATGATCCTTGTCCATGCAAGACTTCTGTCTGATCAACATTCATCTAACTGAGTCCTGCTAAATGCCCATCAGACACAAAGGCTGGACTACAATGAGGGGTCCAGCTTAGAAATATAGTAGGTGGGCTGCCTGGGAGAGTGAGAGGCTCCTGCATCCTACGGTTCCCCTAAAACTTGTGTAATGAACAAACCAATCAACACTGAGGACTTAGTAGGCAGCTAAGGTTGCCAACCACACTGTACACTGGGCACTAAGGGAAAAAGGCAGAAGCAGTAAAGATGGGGCCTCTGAGAAAGCCCCAAGTCACCACTGAACAATAAAGTCCCCATGAAATAGGGCTGTCCTTTAACTGGGTCCCAGGCATGCTGTACTTAGAAAAGAGGAAATTTATCGAAACACAACCAATGGCTTCTCAAATATTCTCCGGACGAAAAAGGAGTACCTATCATAATTGTTAGGATTCATTTTATACAATCAAAAGCAGAACCCAGGTGGTGTCTGGACCGTGACATAACATGTGCCTTTTTTGTTGTTGTTTTTGAGACAGAGCCTTGCTGTCACCCAGGCTAGAGTGCAGTAGTTCAATCGTAACTCACTGCAGCTCGGACCTCCCAGGCTCCAGTGATCCTCCCACATCAGCCTCCTAAGTAGCTGGGACTACAGGCAAGCACCACCATGCCCAACTAATTTCTTAATTTTTTGTAGAGATGGGATCTCTTTATGTTGCCCGGCTGGTCTTGAACTCCTGGGATCAAGCAATCCTCCCACCTTGGCCTCCCAAAGTGCCGAGGTTACAAGTGAGAGCCGCCGTGCCTGGCCAGAACATCGCTCTCGACAGCCACACTGTCAGATCAGTCTGCCACACCAAGATTACTGCCCAAACAGGTAGGGAAGCCACAGAAACTTATTCCTCAGGGATGCCTTCCATGGGAAGCTGTCGGCGAGGGGAGAATGCAGGGAGGCCTCTCTCACAATGGAGCAAAAAATAGATACCTTCAAAACCATTATCAAGAATAAGTGGACTGATTCATCAAGGATATTTTCCCCACCTGACCTGAACCTTTTTCACAAAAACAAGCTCAAAGTCATTTTTAATTCCAACGGGCTCAGATTTTAAAGACTCCTGATGTCTCCTGTCACCCAGACCAAACCTTTGAACATTGTAAGAATCAACCATCTCCATTCATCTTGTCAACCTTCCACGCCCCAACCTTTAAGGCTCAAAAAGGGATGGAAACAGACAGAGTGTTGACACTCAGTAACTGACCTACCACAACAAAGGCGGGCTCCCTGCAAAGCCAGAGATCACTCACACAGGAACTCACCTCGCTGTCAGAGACTTCTCTGTCGTTAATAATAAATCGGTAGCTGGCGTCTGGTGATAAGTGCTCAGCCTGGAGCCAGAAGCGAACCTGCCCCTTATCAAAAATCTCATAAGCTAATTCTGATTTCAGAGGAATTGCTACAGGAAGAAAAGAAATCGCAAGTCAATAATGCATGAATCCTTGTGAGGAAGAATAGCTGCAAATTGTAGGGAAATATCAATCCTAGTTATTAAATTTTTTGAGAACGTGAAACCCTGGAGTATTAGATTATGGAAGCCAAAAATAAAACATAAAACTTGAGGTAGCCTGTTGTCACCTCTAAAGCCTCATACCACGTGAGTTCTCAGTTAGCTTTCCAGACGTATTCGATGAGTAAAGATGCCTGGATTATTTCTATATTTAATGCAATTCAATAACAGAAGATTTCACTTGATAGGAAATGAAATCTTGGATTTCACTTGGATTAGGAACAGCTATACTAAACCCAAAATTCAAATCACTCTGTACGCAATGCCAAGTTTCAACAAGCTATAATATAAGCTAATATTTGTTTTAAATCAATAGGTTTCAATCCTGTGAGCTGGGATCAGGAAATGAGGCCATCCTTTCCCCAAAGCTGTTCCTCCAAGAGCTCATGCATTAATGAACACGGCTCTCCAGCCAGCGGCTGTAAGCAGAGGTGCAGGGCTGGAGGCTTACTTACTGGGGTTCTTTATTTCATTGCTCAATGCCATCAAACGTTCGAGCTCTGAAACAAAGAAAAAGTATTTCAGTTGATTTGGACCTGCACATTGAGAGGTTTGTAGACATCAGCAAGGCTACACACGAGCAAGATTGGAAACCCCAAGGATTTAATTGGAGGACACAAAAGGAATTTAAACTACAAGCCTGAGGGACATAGAGGATAGCTTTACCAAAACTTCACCTTTTTAAGAACCCACCTAGTACAGGGGCAGCTGAGGACAAGGCAGGGTACAGTCATGGGGATGAAGGAATTGGGGGCAGGGGCAGGTATATCCCTGGAATATAGGAAGACTTGGAAGACGAAAGGTTAAAGGGAGCCTTTTCCAGTTGCTTGCACTTAATGTGAGCTCTTTCCTAAAATTGATTGGACTGGCTGAGAACATGCTTGTGGCCTGTGACTTTCCTTCCCCTCTCAAGATTTCCTTCTTCAATCTCATTAAAGAAAAGTATACATACCACTCATTTCATCACCATAGTGTATTACCATGAATTTTAAAAAAAGGAAGGAAGGAAGAAATAAAGCAAAAAAATAAATAAATAAACAAAATACACTGCATTCCTGAGAAAGTCCCAAGAGCAAGGTAAGAAAATCTGAGGCTCTAAGCCACTTCATTTTTTCTCCTTCCTTCCTAAAATTAGAATTGGAAACAAGATGGTGGTCTCCAAGGCCTTCAAGAACATGTCTCTTCAAAATGGAAAAATGGAGTCAGATTTTTCTGACCAAAAGTAAATTCACATTGGCAGCAGGTTTGACAGGGAGGACAGGCTTTCCCAGTTAAATCTTCTGGTAGGAATTTCCATACATGGAATGAGCTAAATCTTCAACTGCAAAGTTTCACCTCAAATATATTTGAAGTCTATACACGATATAAGAGAGGCAGAAATTTTATCTTTTGCAAATACTTAAAATTAAGATGGAAATTTTGAAATGGTGGGAGGAATGCATAGCTTTTCGGAATTCTTCAGGATGTCGTGAAGGTACAAAACTGCGCTGACCCTGGAGGCGGGGCCAGCAGAGGCTGCTTTAAAAGCATGCAGATTTTGGGTCCTTCCTTCCCCGCCCTGCCTGTGAGCAGTGAACTGAGGACCCCAGAAAGGCCTCCTCATTTGTCCGGCTGTGTCTTGTTAAATGTGCATGAGTTTTCCCGAATTTAACCAACATTGAGCCAGACCTGCACACTCAAGAAGCTGGGAGTGTGATTCTGGCTGCGCCCGCCATGGGTCCCTGCCCATCCTCCTGCCCAGCCCACAGCACCCATCCTGGGTCAGATGTTCTCAGATCACAGCCTCTGCATGATATCAACCAGGACAGTGATTGCTAACTAAAGGATCTGCTTGTCAATCGTAGGGCATCCCTGGAGATCATTTATGCCATCTGTGGAGAGCATTTTAATAGAAAACTTTTGGAAATTCACATGCCTTAAAGACCCAAAGAAACCCAGAGATCTGAGGATACCATCCAGCCCTACAAGGTCATGCTGCATCACTGCCCCTTCATTTTAAAATGTCTAAGGCTGACGCTGCCCTGCGAGTGGGGTAGATGAGGGGCCACACAAATACACGTGATACCAGACAGTTAAAAAAAATCAGCCCTGCCTGCCTGAGACTGTGTGCCTGGTGAACTCAGATCTGTGAACCTACCTAAGAAAACTATTATTTTTCCCCTTGATTACTAAACAGACTTTTCTCACTTCTCTCTGCTGTCTTCCATTTGTAAGAGAGCAGCAGGTTTTCACTATGGCAGTTAAACATTATTTCACGCATAAAAAAATTTTTCTTTGATCATCCAGATTTCTCATGTTGGAAGGAAGGGAAGACTCTTCCATCCGTAGGTCTCATTAATTTCATGGATTTCTTAGCTAATATGTTACCTTCTGCATACCAAACTATTAAAATGTGACTAAGATTCAACTTTAAAAGTTCAGGTTGAAGGTTGTACAAGCAATATATCAGGACCAGAAACTGTTTGGTGGAAACAGTATAAACTTTAGAGTCTGTTTAATTTCTAAAGTAAGTTTTGGCTTATATACATAGCCCCCACCGCCAACCTCCTGCAAACATACATCTTTTTTCTAAGCAAGTAAGTCTTTTCTATGTTGGCGTCAATCTTTAAAAGTGTGATAAAACCAAAACAGGCAAGGTTCTGCCATATAAATATTACCTTCTGGGTCCAGAACAAAACTGGAGGACACTCCGTCTGTATCACTTACAGACACAGAGTAAGTCCCTAAATCCTCCTTATCCGGATTCTTTAAGTACAGCTTGGAGCTAAAAAGGAAGAAGAGTAGGTGAATGTCGATCATTTCTGTTGGCAGGAACTTCTAAAAGTTTCCAATATCCAACTTCCAGGCCTGACTTACTGATCCCCCACGGTTTCGATTTTAAACCTCTCATCATCTGCAATCTCCTCGTAGGATTTACACCAGGTGAACTGAGATGCGTCTGTCATTTCCTGGCAGTCGAAGGCCAGGTAGATGTTGCCTTGCTCGTCGACACCAGCACTGATTTCCTTGGTGCCTGCGTAAGAAGGGCATGAGGTGAGCAGCTCAGGGACACGGTGTTCTTTCAACTCTTTTTTGGGAGAGGGTGATATGGTTTGGCTCTGTGTCTACACCCAGATCTCATCTCGAATTGTAATCCCCAGGTGTCAAGGGAGTGAGGTGATTGGATCATGGGGTGGTTTCCCTCATGCTGTCCTCATGATAGTGAGTCTCACGAGATCTGACGGTTTTAGAAGCACCTGGCATTTCCCCTGCTGGCACTCACTCCATCCTCCCGCCCTGTGAAGAGGTACCTTCTGCCATGACTGTAAGCTTCCTGAGGACTCCCCAGCCATGAGGAACTGTGAGTCAATTAAACCTCTTTTCTTTGTAAAGCACCCAGTCTCCGATATTTCTTCATAGCAGCGTGAGAATGGACTACTACACAGAGGTTAGCCAAAGCAGAGACCTCATCTCACACCAAATCATCTGTTGCATTTAATGACCCAGGGCTGATCAGAGAGTCCTGAGATAGAAAACACTTAGGGAGGACCCGGAGGGCTTTGGTTGTTTTGTGGTTGCTGATTTTTTTAATTTATCACATTTCTGCCCACGTCCTTCTCTGCATCTCATACGACCGCAGAAAACCTATCAGGGCTGCCTCTCCAGGCCCTGAAGATCCTGTTCTCTCTGGAATCTCCTCCTCTGACCCTCAGGAGAAGCCCAGCAGCCATGTGCCCACCACGGAGCTCCCCCTTCACACAGCTCTGCCTTCTGCAAGGGGCCTTGCCTTGTCTTGTTTGGGAGTAGGGGTTGTTTGTGGTTTATTTGCTACTTTTTGAGCCAGGTGAACATCTGGCCATGTGCAAGGCAGAATCTACGTCTTAGGAAGTAGATGTGTCCAATGACAAGACACATCTCAGCCTCTGCTGGTGAGTGGAACTGAGGCCATGAAGTATCAATGCTCTCGGGTTATGAAGAAGACACAGATGCAAGGAAGGCCAGGTGGCAGGGTGAGATGAAGCAATGAGAGGCCACCGCAGAGAGCCATCAGGATCTTCACAGTCTGAGGCTGCACTGCTTCCTGACACTCAGGTCACACTCTGTGGCTGTGGTTTGGATGTGGTTTATCCCCTCAAAACTCATGTTGAAATGTAAAAGCCAGTGCAATGGTGTTGGGAGGTGGGGCCTTTAAGAGGTGATTAATGACTGGGGACAGCAGCTCACGCCTGTAATCCCAGCACTTTGGGAGGCCGAGGTCAGCGGATCGCTTGAGCTCAGGAGTTCAAGACCAGCCTGGGCAACATAGTGAGACCCTGTCTCTATAAAAAATAGAAGGCTGGGCACAGTGGCTCATGCCTGTAATCCCAGCACTTTGGGAGGCCGAGGCAGGCGGATCACGAGGTCGGGAGATCGAGACCATCCTGGTTAACAGGGTGAAACCCCGTCTCTGCTAAAAATACAAAAAATTAGCCAGGCGTGGTGGTGGGTGCCTGTAGTCCCAGTTACTCAGGAGGCTGAGGCGGGAGAATGGCATGAACCCGGGAGGCGGAGCTTGCAGTGAGCCGAGATCACACCATTGCACTCCAGCCTGGGTGACAGAGCGAGACTCCATCTCAAAAAATAAATAAATAAATAAATAAATAAATAAATAATAGAATAATAAAGATCTTTCTAAAAGAGGTGATGAGGTTGTTAAGATAGACTCATGTCTTTCTGGAAAGACTGGGTAGGTTCTTGCTAATAACACAGATGTTGGTTAGTTAAACTGGAGTGGACTAGTTCCAGTGAGAGTAAATGTTATAAAGCAAGGCTGCCTCCGGTGCTGGCTCCATTTCCGCACACACCCAGTTCTCTGCCGTGTTGTGGGGCAGTGGGAGGCCCTCCTCACTGGAGCCGCCAGAGCCACCACCGCAGATTCCAGCGCGTGCTTCTTAGACTGCCTGCCTCCAGAATCATGAGCCAAATAAACTTTTAAAAACAAATTACCCAGCCTCAGTGTTCTGTTACAGCAACACAAAATAGACTGTGCATCCTACAAATATGTGTCCTGCCTTCAGAAGTATTCACCCTTTTAAGGTTGACTCCAGGGAAGTTTTATTTATTGAAACCAAGAAAATGACCAACAGCTTTAAAATTTTCTGATAAAAATCCAGCAGTAATATTTTAAAAATGCCTTCCTTCCTGCACATGGTTTGATCATTCCAAGAACAACCCCTGCCAACCATGAAGATGACCCAACGTGCTCTTCTAACCCAGGGCCATTAGTGCACAGGCAGAGATTTAAGTGCATACTTCATTTGCCCATCCAAATCTTTTTAAAATAACGACAAGACATCCATTCATTTATCCGTACACCCATCCATACATGCACACATAACACATGCACACACTCCCATCTATTTATCCATATACCCATCCATACATACACATGTACACATAATACATGCACACTCTCCCACTCATTTATCCATATACCCATCCATACATACACATGTACACATAACACATGCATACTCTCCCACTTATTTATCCATATACCCATCCACATGTACACATAATACATGCACACTCTCCCATTCATTTATCTATACACCCATCCATACATGTATACATAATACATGCACTCTCTCCCATTAATTTATCCGCATACCCATCCCATTCATGCATGCATAATACATGTACACTCTCCCATTAATTTATCTACACACCCATACATAAACACATAATATATGCACAGTCTTCCATTCATTTATCCACACATCCACATAATATATGCACAGTCTTCCATTCATTTATCCACACATCCATACATACGTACATACACAGTACATGCACACTCTCCCACTCATTTATCCATACACCCATCCACACATCCACACATAATACATGTACACTCTCCCATTAATTTATCTGCACACCCATACATAAACACATAATATATGCACAGTCTTCCATTCATTTATCCACACATCCATACATACATACATACGTACATACCCAGTACGTGCACACTCTCCCACTCATTTATCCATACACCCATCCACACATCCACACATAATACATGCACACTCTCCCACTCATTTATTCATACACCCATACATAAACATACAATCCACGCACACTCTCCCATATATTTATCCACACCCACACATACTTGGACACATAATACGTGCACACTCTCCCACTCATCTATCCACACACCCATCCATACATACATAATACATGCACACTCTCCCCCCAAATCCTTGCTGTTCTGTAATTTTTGTTGTTTTGAATGACTGACAGCAAAGCCTTACCTGGTCTCGCCTCTACCAGCACGGGCTCTGACATGTCCGAGGGCTTCCCCACGCCGTTTGCATTGACTGCCCGGACCCTGAAGACATAGGTCTTACCTTGCTGCAGGTCACAGACCTTGAAACAACAGAGGAAACACCAGATGTGTGGAGGTAAAATAAAGATGACTTTGGAGTTTTTCAGATTATATTATGAATAGACCTTTTCAAAAATAGTTTATTTTTCCAGTTGGAAAAACGATACTTAATGAGCTAGAAAAGGAGGGAAGAAGAGATTCACAGTGGTGCAGAATTTGACTTTGGAGGAATAAACACATTTGCTACCAATCTGATAGAACCTCTTTCATTTTTTTATCTCTGCGTATTTTAAAGCAGAAGTAAAATCATACTGACTAGTTTATAATCTGGTGTTTATGTTTAACATAATTCTATGGAACTAATACAATTTTAAGTGTGATATTTAACTGTGTAAAATCATCATTGGGACATCAAAATTAAATCTATCTCTACTTGTACATACCTGGGTTATTCCTATTAAAACCTGCTTGGATAAACATCAATATATAGTTACTAAGCTTCTAGTTGATTTATGTAGCTGATTCTTAGAAGCTGATTCATCCATTCTAAAGAAACTGGCTGTTTCCTGTCGTCAAAGTGTTTCCAGAAGGTGTCACCCGTGGAAGCCACTCTCGGCCTGTGCTCGGGCACCGGACCCAGACGTGACCGTGCTTTAGGGAAGGACGCAGGCCCGCCCCACCACGGGGCCCAGCACCCAGAGAAGAAAACCTCTGGGTTAAGGCAGTTGGCAACTCAGCTGGAGCATGTAGGCCTCCTGGGGCTCAGTCCTTACACCTGACCCAGTTACTGAGGAACCGCAAGTGCTGAAAACCGAAACATTTGGAGAAAGAGAGGCTGGCGGAAGTGCCACATTAAAGTTTTGCTCCATGTAGGAAAACTGTGTGTATATCTGTGTGTGATGTTTATCAAATGGACTTTAGCGATCACATGAATTAAGTAAATTCAATGCAGGGCATGAAGTGGAAGGACATAACACAAAATGCATCATCCCTGTGGAAAGCACACAGACGTAGCCCATAAACAGACAATTAACAGCTATTAGACTGCAATGTGGAAGAACACAGGCGTGTCTGCGCAGCTCCCCAGGAGCGAACAGCATATTGGTGTGAATGGAAGGAGGGCTCTGCGTCCTCAGGGCGCTGCTCCCCATCTGCTGGGACCCACGATGTGCGGCGGCTGCACCCTCCGCAGCCACGCCCCTGTCCTCGGAACAGGTTCACCTTGGGGCTCGGTGCTGGCTTGCACAGAGATCAACAGCACTTTCACACACAGGGAAACTCCAAGACAAAAGACTTACCTTTATTTTTTGTTGTTTGTTTTGTTTTGTTTTTGAGACAGAGTCTCGCTCTGTCACCCAGGCTGGAGTGCAGAGGCTCAATCTCAGCTCACTTCAACCTCTGCCTCCCAGGTTCAAGTGATTCTCCTGCCTCAGCTCCCCAAGTAGCTGGGATTACAGACACCTGCCATGGTGCCACGCCTGGCTAATTTTTTTTGTATTTTTAGTAGAGACGGAGATTCTCCATGTTGGCCAGGCTGGTTTTGAACTCCTGACGTCAAGTGACTGGCCCGCCTCTGCCTCCCAAAGTGCTGGGATTGCAGGCATAAGCCACCACAGCCAGCCAAGACTCACCTTTAAATAACGGTTGGCCGTTGTCGTCTGATTGACAGTGATCCACTCTCCAGCATCCTCCTCCCTGAAGTCCACGAAATATCCAGAAACAGGGCTGCTGCCGGAGTACACGGGGGCCTTCCACAGCATGACCAAGGACGTGTCCCTGACCTCACAGAACGTCAAGTCGTAGGCAGGACCTGTGAAGTCAGATGCCACCTTGCTTCTCTGCACACAGCCAGCCCAGCACACCCACCACCCGACCCAGCCCCGGGGACCTGCTGCTCCTCCGGGACGCCCCCCACCAGGACCATCCGCATCTGTTCCCCATCTGATGTTCATCAGCCTCTCTTGGAGAGCGGGGTAAGGAGGGTGCTCAGCGTGATGTTGGGGGTCGGGGAGGAGGGCCCAGCCTCATGCTCCTGCCACCCCCTCTTTGGGCATCGGGGCCATTGTGGATCTACATAGAATCATTCAGAAGTCCACCCTGCATCGTCGGGACCAGCAGATGCTATCACAGAGAGGAACGGTGTGCAGAAAAGGACGGGTTCTCAAGTTACCCTCCAAGGGGCTGGACACCTGTCAGTCATAGTCACTTAGGCAAGCACCTGGCCAGAAGCACATCGCTGCAGCCCTGTCCTCTACGAACACCCACGGCAACTCTGAGGGCGTGTGGTGCAGAGGCCCAGGTCCAGGCAAGCACCAAGCGGTGCAGGGGAACAGAGAGGCAGCCCCGCCCCATCCTCAGCCAGTCTCGCTGCGGCCTTGAGCCTTGAGAGACCGTCTCCTACTAACCCTCAAAAAAGGCTCGGGAAACTAGAACGGCTTTTTCTTCTGCTGGTTTTCTAAGGTCCAAAATTTAATTTCATTAAAACCAGAAAGGCAGGAAGGCAGGAAAGAAGGTGGGAGGGAGGGAAGGAGAAAGGGAAGGAAAGAAGGAAAAAAGAAAGAAAGAGAGAGAAGGAAGGAAGGAAGGAAGGAAGGAAGGAAGGAAGGAAGGAAGGAAGGAAGGAAGGAAGGAAGGAAGGAAGGAAGGAAGGAAGGAGGGAGGGAAGGAAGGAAGGAAGGAAGGAAGGGAGGAATTTTCTAATTGACTTATTTATCTGGATTCTTAGCAGCTGATTTGCTAAGTCAAAAGACGCTGACTGAAAGGAAAAAGGCAGTATACTCCGGCCATAACATCGGAAAACACTCTGAACTTTGATCTTTTTCAGCTTCAACTTTCAGGATTTACTTTGTCAAAGTATGAGCATATTATCCATTGCATTTGATTCCTGATAGGTTAGAGGCAAAGAACTCAACATCTGGTACTTAAGAACTTGTGAAAACAAAGAGAAAATGTTAGTGGGGCACAGTGGGTGACGTGAACCTGTGATCCCGGCTATTCATGAGGCTGAGGTAGGACGATGGCTTGAGGCCAGGAGTTCAAGACCAGCCTGGGCAACGTAGAGACCTCATCTCAGAACAAAAAATCAGTAGAGTACTAGCTAAATAAATGCAGATCTGCAACAATTGGCCTTTTAGAACTGGAAGCCCCGAGATCCCCAAATGGCGTGAGAGGACAGCAGGAGCTAACCCACGAATGAGAACCCTGTCGTGCCTCCCAGCTGGGGCCCCGGCTCGCACCTTCCCCTCCAGCTGTGACCCTCTCTGCCTGCTCCTTTGGGGTAGGTGACCTGGGCCAAATCCTTGTCATAGGTCAGGGATGCATGGGAAGCTGTCCCTCCCCCACAGTCTGGATCCTCCTGTGCTCCCTCCCACCTCACCCTCAGGGCCTCCTACTCTGCCCTCATCACTGGCCTGTGGACCATGCACAGTCCAGACTAGACGCTGGGCCTGCCTGATTCACAGCCCTGCACTGCACCTGGCACACGGTGGCTCTGCGGCTGCGGGTGTCAGAGGAACAGCATGCCGTGAAGGCTGGCGAGGCCTGAGCCACAGTCACAGAGGCCCCTTCCCAGCCAGCCTGTGTGCTAGAAGGCAGGTGTCCTGGGGGCAGCGACTCACCGGGCTCTGGCATGGTCCAGGCCTCACACTTGAAGTGCTCACTGGGGTCCGAGGGCTCCCCAATGCCAGCCAGGTTGACGGCAGCAATTTTGAACTCGTAGAGTGAGCCTTCCGTCAAGCCGTCCACCTATTCGGATTTTGTTTAAATTAATACATGAGATAAAGGATGCATTACAGTCCACTGAGGCGGAGGATTTGTTATAACTGGTTTGTGAAATAAAATATGAGAGGAAGGAACCGTGTCGGGAAATTGGACCAAATATTTCAGGAAGGCCCTTGATGGAGCCCGACAAGCAGCAGCCACGTGAAACCTTACGTGTCCCTCACTCAATCCCCAAAGGCTCCTACGGGGGTCGGGGACAGGTGATACCCCAGCGGCAGGTAAGGAAACTGAGGCACAGAGAGGCGACGGTCACCCAGGGCCAATGCAAGGGCAGAGGCCTGGAGGAGACAGGCACTCAGGCCACGTACTGGCCCCTGAGCAGGCCCTGCCCTGGACCCAAGGGGGGGTTACCCTGGAGACAGAGCCCACCACGTCCCCCACACTCAGACTCTACAGGACAAGAGACCCTGGGCTGCCCAGGTCCCTGGGGTGCTGCAGTTCAGGGCCACCCACCAAGCCCTCAGGGACACTGTCTGGCTGGAGGACAAAGCACTAGGGAGGCCTTTGGCCAACACTACGAGCCTCGACTCCACAGGGCTAGTAGGACAAAAACACTATCTGGGTAAACACTGTCTCGAAAAATAGCTTCCAAAGTAAGATATCTGAGGATAAACGGCTTCGGTCCATGGTGACAGCCTTCATCCTCCTCACTGGACGAGCTGCGAAGCATTCAGAAAGTAAGCAGGTACTTTTCTCAGGAATCTCGTACCGAGTAAAGAACTGTTGTGCCGAGCGAGATGACCCCAGGACAAAAGGACAGACACTCTGCGATCTCGCTCAGATGTGGAATCTGAAACAGCAGCACTCACAAAGACAGAGCGCGAAAGGGCAAGTGCCGGCTGGCGGGGGCGCTGGACAGAGGGACAAAGTTCCAGCAGGAACAGGAGGGGCGAGTCCTGGTGCTTCCTGCACAGCTTGGGGATGAGTTAGCCCATAATAACGTGTTGTAGACACATTTCAAAAACATTTTCAAATAGATTTTAAGCTGAGCATGGTGGTTCATGCCTGTAATCCCTGCACTTTGGGAGGCCAAGGCGGGTGGATCACCTGAGGTCAGGAGTTCCAGACCAACCTGGGCAACATGGTGAAACCCTGTCTCTACTAAAATAATACAAAAATTAGCCGGACGTGGTGGCACGCGCCTATAATCCAGCTACTCGGGAGGCCGAGGCAGGAGAATTGCTTGAACCCGGGAGGTGAAGGTTACAGTGAGCCGAGATCATGCCACTGCATTCCAGCCCGGGTGACAGTGAGATTCTGTCTCAAAAAATAAATACATGCATAAATAAATAGATTTTAAATGTTCTCACCACAAAAAAATTATAAGTACTGGGAGGCAATGGAGATGTTAATAGCTTGATTTAATCATTCCATAATGTAAACATATATTAAAATATCACATTGTACCCCCTTTATACGTACAATTATTATTTGTCAATTGAAAATAAAACAATTTTTAAGTTGAGAACATTTAGACATTGTAAGGTGTAAGAACAGAGGTTGAACGCGGGTAAAATATCAGTCATGTCACAACGAACTGGGAAGTTGCCTACATATCATAGTATGTGTATAAAATCTTGAAAATATATTAAAGAGATATATTTATAAGGCAGAATTTTCTAGTAGACAAAGATTAGATCTTCTAAGGTCTTACCCCCTCCACAAAGGAAAGCCTTCCTGTGGGAGCGTAAGTGACTCCCCAGGGGTCTGTGGCTCCCCAGGGTCGGGATGGGAGCTGCAGTGTGAGATGAGGGCCGTTCATCCATGCTCAGATGAGGGGTCAAGGGTCGGGCAGGGAACAGGACAATGGCTGCCAAGGGTGTGTCTGTCCTTGCTACACTCTGCACCTGAGCACCACGGGCACTGCGGCAAGGGACTCTCTTGGAGGCTTGACATACAAGAATGTCTCAGGGAAGCGGTGGGTGACAAGCAGAGAGCCAACATCACTCTTCCTAACCAGACATTCAGCACGACTCTCCCCTCAGGCTCACACGTGAGACTCCATCCCTGCCCTCCAGGCCTCAGCGTCTGGGGCAAGGAACATTACCACGGTACTGGGACCAGATGCTGGTCACACCAGAGGTCATGGACTCATTGTCAGACCCACTCCGCCACTGAGCTCCCTTCTTCACTGCTTCTCAAAAAGAAAAAGAATATGATTCCTAGGATCTTTTTAGCTCCAAAACTTCATGATCTCATGATACTATTTTTTAATCCATTTTTGTGTCTATCAAATTATATAATGTCATCAAACACGGAAACATTGCCCAAAAAATGTAAAGAACCACCCAGGCAAAAATAAACAAAGAAATAAAAACCAACCGACCGTTAGGATTGTCTGTTTGCTGGGTGAGGAATTGACCTCGTGCCAGTTTTCATGGTGAACTTCGCGCTTGTCCAGGTAGTAGCCCAGGATGGGCGAGCCACCGCTGAATTTCGGGACCTTCCAGCCGAGGGTCATGGAGTGGCCGTCACAGTTGAGGAGTGTGATCCCATAAGGATGGGACGGGACGGCTGCAAGGAAGCACAGCCAGGGAGTTACTGAGGGCCTCAGCTGGGGGTTTTGTCCTGGGGCAGCCAGCTCTAGTGTGGCAGAGGGAGGAGGAAGCAACATGGAGAAGGGCCTGAACACTGTGCCCTCTGATCCTTCTTAACCCACATTTAACCACCTTGGTCTTTACACCCTTTTAAAGGGGATGAGTATAAAAAGAAATCAAAAGTTTATCTCCTGTATATGTATTGCTATTTCTAAGTGTATCTACTAAGATTTCCATAGGACAAGGGTGGTGAACCGTTTGAATCTGGTGTGAACATTTGACACAGCAGAAGATGGCCTGTCCACCCTGCCCCGTGAAAGAAGCTTGGAGAAGGAGCTTTCACCTTTACAACCATAAGGAATAACTACTCAGCATCTGTGGCCAGAGATGACAGATATGATTCCAGTTTGTTTTTAATTTCCTACACAGTTACAGGAGCTTCAGGTTCTTTCAAATGAGTGTGAATTTGTGTTTCCCTGTTTGAGCAGAGCATTCGAAACAGACCACCTTCTCCTAACAAGTCGAGAATGGATGGGCCTGAGTCTGCTTTGCCCAGCTCTGAGTCACCTCGGTGTGGCCATCCTCTGTTACCCGAGACACAGGTGACTAGAGTTAAGTGATTCTTATTGTAGAATAAAAACAGGTCAGGTGCGGTGGCTCATGCCTGTAGTCCCAGCACTTTGGGAGGCCGAGGCAGGAGGACTGCTTGAGCTCCTGAGCTGGAGATCAGCCTGGGCAATATGGTGAAACTCCATCTCTACAAAAAATCAAAAAATTAGCTGGGCTTAGTGCTGCATCCCTGTGGTCCTAGCCCATCAGGAGGCTGAGGCATGAGGATCGCTGGAGCCCAAAAGCTCAAGGTCACAGGGAGCTATGATCGCACCACTGCACTCCAGCCTGAGCAACAGAGCGAGACTCTAAGTCTAAAAAGAAAATTACAGGTTTTCCTTTAGTAGGAATGACTTTAAAAGGAAAATGGAAATGTTTGAAAGTCCCTCATGGAAAAAATTGAGAGATTAATCTTAAAACAAAAGAGTCAGTGCTATGGTACCCAGCTAGGTGTTATCAGATTTGACATTCCTTGGAAATCCAACAGCAATCTCATTAGAAGACAAATTTTAATTTCTGAAAATGTAGCAAATTTAGTCAGAGATGAAAAATCATCAAGGAGCAACACAGTTCCCTCTGAAGTGGGAAGATAACACTGTGAATCCAAGCGTGTCGTGTGTGGCCTTTGTGTTTCAACATGTTTCTGAGTATGTGCACTTACTTGGTGTGGTGCATTTCATGAGAAAGCAAAGCCAGGAGGCTGCAGCACAGCTTGACACAGCAACTGTTCTAGGGAGGGTCCCTGAGATTTAGGATCCCAATTGTCTCGTTGGATCAAAATAATAAAAACTGTTAAACACCACTATTTACCAACAAAGTCACAAAGTTACATAAACGTGACATTCTCTGAAGTGATTAAAGTTTCTTAAACTGAGAACAGGCCATTGATGTCGCTGTATTTTACCACATATTTTGAAAAGAGAAATGTATCCCCTATAGCACACATATACATATATACACACACATGATCGTACATATATATGTACACACACACACACACACAAGATCGTACAATGGTGCCATCTTGGCTCACTGCAACCTCCTCCTTCCAGGTTCAAGTGATTCTCCTGCCTCAGCCTCCCAAGTAGCTGAGACCACAGGCATGCGCCACCACACCCGGCTAATTTTTATATTTTTAGTAGAGACGGGGTTTCAACATGTTGGCCAGGGTGGTCTCAATCTCTTGACCTCATGATCCAGCCACCTCAGCCTCCCAAAGTGCTGGGATTACAGGTGTGAGCCACCACGCCCGGCCTACAGCATACATTTTCACACGAGTACAGGTATTTGGCAACACATGTGACCTCTAATAATGTTTTCTATTTTTAATTTGCATTTTATTAGCCTATTATCATTTCTCCCTCATTTCTAAGATGAGCAGCCAACCGAGAGGCTTCAAAGAAATGCATGTTCTCTGTTCAACAATGGAGTCCCCTTTTTCCCTCCAATAAATTTCCGAATGGCATCATAAATGTTTATTCATGCAGAAATGACAGTGTACAGGAGCCATCGGCCCAGAACAGCCTGTGAGTGACTTACTGAGTGCAGCCTGCACTTTTATGACGTCCGATTCCTGGGAATTTTCACTCATCCCCACGGCATTGACCGCCTTGACTCGGAAGATGTACTGCTCTCCCGTGGTTAAGCCGTGCACCACGAACCTGAGAAACACAGGGATCAGGGTCAGAACTGCCAGGCTCTACTTTTTCTCTCCTGCAGCAGAAGCGAAAATCATCCTGAACGCTCCATAAAAAATGTTTATGGACGACATACATCCTTCATTTTCAATTCCAGTTAATTAGCTCAACATTTAGAGTCTAAAAGTAAGGTCACAGCACCCAATTATAGCCGGAGCTGACTACACGTGGTGTCAAAGCCACTTGTTCTGTGAGTTCACCTTTGCTTTTGCACTTTCTGGGCCTCGTCTGGATCAAAGGTCTATTATCCAACAGTATGCCATTCCTTATCTAAAAGAACCCATGTATGTAAAACTTCGTGAGCGGTAATCACACTGCAGTGGTTAGAGGCCAAGACTTGGAAGTCAGATGGACTAGACTCGAATACTGGCTTTCACACCTCACAGATCCTCACAGATTTTATGGCCTTAATCAAGCTCCTTAACCCCTGTAAGCCTTCGTTTTTCTATCTGTAAGATGGGGATAATTCCTACCCCAGAGTATTGTTGCAGACACTACACGGAAAACTCTCGGTGGAGAACTCAGCACAGGTGCCTTGTGTATGGAAGGTACTCAGTCTGTGTAAGCAATTATTACTTACCATATATAGTCCATAAATACTCACTAACCGTTTCCCTGTACTGGAATCATGTTTTAGGTTTCTTTTTTTTTTTTTTTTTTTTTTTTGAGACGGAGTCTTTGCTCTGTCACCCAGGCTGGAGCGCAGTGGCGTGATCTCGGCTCACTGCAAGCTCCGCCTCCTGGGTTCACGCCATTCTCCTGCCTCAGCCTCCCGAGTAGCTGGGACTACAGGCGCCCGCCACCACGCCCGGCTAATTTTTTGTATTTTTAGTAGAGACGGGATTTCACCGTGTTAGCCAGGACGGCCTCGATCTCCTGACCTTGTGATCCGCCCGTCTCGGCCTCCCAAAGTGCTGGGATTACAGGCATGAGCCACCACGCCTGGCCATGTTTTAAGTTTCTTATTCTGATCGATATTTCTGCATTTGGTGTGGGCTGTGAAGAACATCTAATTGTTATTCTTTTCGATGACATCTCTTTTTGTTAGCCACCGCTTTTTACAGTGTATTTTTTTCAGACTCTAAAAGGAGAAATGGCTGAGCCATAATTGATCATTCATCCACAAGGGTGGCTCTGACAGCTGCCGACATTTTCCTAAGACGTGTATCGCAGAGAAGCCTAATACCTCAGACATCCCTGCACACACTCAGCAGGCAGCAGGAGGAGGGGTCTCCAAAGGCAGGGTCACTGGCTTTCCCTTGCAAAGCAGCCAGCATCCCCCCAAGCTGCCCCCACCCCCCAACAAGTGAAGAGTTGGCGCCCGGTGGGGTCTCCATCAGGCGCTAGAGAATAGAACTACCAGGCACGTGATCAAAGCAACTTTCAAGTTCAAAAAAATCAATATGAAAAAAATAAAACGACTTTCACATTGTAGTCGCTATTTTTAACTCTGCTATTCAAAGAAAAGGCCTAAGTGCTAATTATGTCAGGAAAAAAAAAAAAAAAAACAGGTTCTGGAACTCTCCTTTCATCCATAAATAAATCGTTTTGGTCAAAATGAGCGAGTGCAGTAACTAGCTCATCCAAGTGGTCACACTGTAAATTATACAGTCCTCGCGCGTGGCTAACACAGACGCATTTATGCAGTGGCCTTGTGGCCGTGGTACTCCCTGTGCCAGGGCCACGGGGGCCTCAACAGTCTTGCTTCTCGTGCTTTATTTCAGGACCGACTCCAGGGCTGGGGAAGGCGGCCGCACCTGTTGTATCCGATGGGCTTGTGGTTGCAGGGCTCCCAGTGGTTGGTTCCGGCCACGCAGCAGTCCACGTAGTAGCCCAGCAGGTCCTCCTCATGCTTGGGTCGGTCCCACTGCACCACCACCGACGTCTTGGTGTTCCGGGAAGCAAGAACGCGACCCGGAGCAGAAGGGACAACTTTTTGTAGGAAACAAAAGGAGTGGTGAGACGGCATCAGAGCCTTGGAAGCTGCACCAGAGAACTTCCAGCCCTTTCCACAGGGAACTGGACAGCCAGGTTGGGGGCTTTGGAAGAAATTCAGACGACGGGTCTGGGAGCAGGAGAAGAGCCTGGGGCCGACCACCCAAGGGCCGTTGGGAGGTGCTGGTCTCTCCTATCTCTTCCCAAGCTCCACACAACTCCTAGAGACACAGCATGACATCCATCCTAAAGCCTCCTGTCCCTCACCAAAGCAGTTAAAAAGATCCTCTGTTGGCACTGGGGATGAGGCTACCTGGGTAATAACTATTCTTTGGACTGGAAATTAACCAATTTTAAGAAAGTAAGACTCAATTTTATCAGATCTGTTGGAATCTCCCAGGGGCACTCAAAATTCAATCATGACCTGACCATTAGATCTTCTCATCTCATGCCAGGCCCCACTAGTGGACTGTGGACTGGGGTCCGGTAAGGCCTTGGGGCCACCTGTGTCCTCCGTGCTGGCCACCTGGGCCACACCCCACAGTGTTTCTCAATGATGGACACTGTCATTTTTCACATGCGTCATAAAGCACAAGAAGGCTGGGCCCTGCTGAGAGGCAGCTGGTCTCATCAGGCCTGTGGTTCTGGGTGTGAGTTCTAAGAGCTTTGATTAAAACCAGAGCCAGATAGAAACTTGAGGATGCCCTGGAGGCAGCTGGCCTCGTGACCTTGTTCATTTCCATATCTGGCTTTCTCAGGAAACAGGACATAGAGAGAGAGGGAGGAGGGCACCCAGGCACTCAGAACTGTGTTCCTGACACCAACGTGCCTCCCACGAAGGCTTCTGGGGATTTCCAGGGTACCTCCGCTTACATGCTAGTTAATTGCCATCCATGAAGGAGTTATGACTCCAGGGACTGTAATTTAGAATTTCTGTAATTTGTATTTGCAACCTTCCAAGAGGGACCATCAAGCCAGATGGACAAGAAACTCTAGTGCCTGGCTGGGCACACTGGCTCACGCTGGAATCCCAACATTTCGAGAGGCCAGGGTGGGAGGATCCCTTGTGTTCG